AAACTTTGTTTCATTTATTCTGCTAGTTTCTCTTAGTTCACTGAAGAGAAAGTCCTGTGCCTTTATCTATGTTTCTTCTTTGTAAAAGTCTTTTTTGTCTATGATTTGTATTCTGAGTAAAATTTTGGCCATTTTTTTAAGATTATGACACATTGTATATTAACTATTGTCATTTTCTATTTTGTTATGGAATACTGTTTTACTTTTTCATAGAAGAGTGGTTTTTTACATTTTCTTTATTAAAATCTTCTTGTATTACATTAAAATAAAAATACATTAAAATTTAAAAAGAATTATAGCTTGGTGTTTCTATTCTCAGCTTATTTATTGTCTGTAGTATGTATGAAGATGATGGAGAAGTGGTGACATTGTATCAGTTTTTGAATCACTGAAAATCAAAATTTTCAGCATGACATAAAAGAGATACAAATAATTGAGTTTAAAGATAAAGCCTATAGTTCTGAATTTGATTTGGACCTATAAGTATGAATTATGTGTATGTTATATGTATTTTACCAAAACAAAACAAAAAGTCACATATTCCCTGTTTATGGAAAAATCTAAGAAATAATGAACATTCAATGACAATTTGCTCCTCTAGGACACAGACTGTGATGTGAAAAAACTACTAACATTAAAAGAAACCAAGTCTTATTGGAGAAAAAACTACAGATCTGAAACTAGAAATATAAGATGTGCCTGAGGGAGTATATTTCTCTGCACAGCAAAGAAACTGTCAAAACTATGAGGTCCAAGCCAAAAGGACTTAGAAGGAATCTGGTATATCAAGATAGTGTATATCTAGAACATTAATCAGAAAATTAGTAATTTGAATCTCACCTCTATATTGGATGACATTAATTTTTATGTATAAAACTAATATACTTTTTAAAAATATCTTTACCATTTACAGATCTATAATGAAACATTTACAGAGGGGATAATATACTTAAATTTTGCTTTAAAATATTGAAGAGGGAAATTAACTTATAGATAAAACAATATTATCAGTGAGTTGATCACTACTGCGGGTGGCTCATGAATACCAGAGAGCTCATTATATACTTCTGTCTACTTCTGTGTATGTATAAAATTCTCACAAAAATTAAATTCATTTTCACTCTTGTTTGCCTCATCAAATCATTAGATTCTTATAATCATGTTTTTTTGACAATGGCCGTAATAATGAAGAAGCTATGAAAAAGAGATGATGTATATAAAAAGACTAATCAAATAATCTATGCTCCTCCAAATCACCTCAATTTGACAAATACTAACTATAAGGGAGAACTATTATTATAGGTTATGAATGTGAATATTATGTACCCTAAATATCCTATACCAGAGTATCCACAGCCTGAGTGAAGAAGTACTATAAGGTTGATACTCCCCTGGTCATTTGGTGTTTCAAAATAAAATAGAAATCAATAGAGCTATTTACCTTTATTAGGTCCTCCTACAGTAGATCTATCCAGATATTTAGAATGAGAAATCTCTGTTTCTGATTTTCTTTGTATAATGAATTGATTTCCAAACCATTTGGGTCCTGAGTAAAAGACTGTAAATTTCTGCTGAATATCAAGTCCAACTAGAAAAAGGAAATATATACAAATGCTTGTTGAAGTCATATAAACCCATACATGTGCCCAGGACATTTAAATGTTTTTAAAAGGTTAAAAGGTATGTCAAATGAAAATTTATATATCTATCATTGTAAAAATCAATGTTCCTACAACAAATGACATTTAACTATATTAAAATATAAAATGTCTATGAATGAACAATTAAAATTTGAATTACATTATCCAGGTTATGTTATCTTTTCTATATCTAAATATATGAAACTTCCCTTAAAGCTTATTCATAATATCCAAATATATTTGTACATACCATTTTTGTATCAGCATAAAGCAAATAATTTTAAATGCTATCATACCTTTTATATTCATAACTTCACTACTTTGATTAACTTACCCAAATCAGAGCTAATTAGATTTATGCTAAGATCTTCAGATATAAGTGCTCGCCTCACATCAATCTTTTTAGTCCAATTTCCAGTTTTTATCAAAACAGAATCCCTGAAAAATGGAAATGCACATTTCAAATAGTGCTTCAAACATTAAATGAAATAACATATTAATTTCCAAGGGCTGATTGTTCCTAGGACAAGTCTTTTCTAGTAGTAAAAAGAAATTGATTATTAAAAATTAGGTCCTCTAAATTCTGAGTAGGAAGAATGACTAAACTATCTTCATTTTTTTTGTGTGTGGTAGTGGGGATAAAACAGAGGGCATCATGAATGCTGGGCAAGTGCTGTATCACTGACTTAAATCCCCAACCCATTTTTTAAAATTTTGAGACAAGGTCTTGCTAAGTTGCCCAGGCTGGCTTCAAACTTATGATCCTTCTACCTTGGCCTCCCAAATAGTTAGATTACACACATGCACCACTACACTAAAATGGAGCTATATTGAGCATAATTCTCTTAAGTATAGCTGATTCCAAGTTGCACTGACTCTACCTGGAATGTGTAATTGTTACTAGTAACACATGAGCTTGCCCTTAAGTCACTACCACTCTAAACTAGCAATACATAAATTACATTTATTTGTAAGAACAACAATATATTTAGAGTTGATTTGAAATAGTTTGTATTTAATATCACAAACCAGCAACCAAATTACATGACTGAACTTATGAGGTGTGATGAAAATATACAGTGAATGTTTAAATTTTTAAAATACAGAGTCCACCAAAAAAATGTACATACACATTAACAGTTCACCATACTAATAAATATCTGGAAGCTATGGCTACCACTATGAATACCTCTTGTAATTGTAGAGGCCAAAGGTAACTTGTACTAATCTTATGAGGTCTCAATAAATTTTGTATTAAAATATTTATACAAGTTTTTCTTTTCCTGATGTTTACTTTTTTTGGTGGATTCTGTATTTACTAGTAAAAGACACATTACCATCAATCCTCTTTAAAATACTTCCCCTAACTTAACATCTTTGCCACTTTCTGAAGCAGTTCTGTAAGTTCTTTTGCATCACTTTTTAAGAGGTATGATCAAAACTACGGCAAATCATGCTTTCAAGTGTAATCCAATGGGAAGGCATAAAACATGGAGTGTCCTCAATTTTATTCAGAGGATCTGGCACTCTGTGACTTCCGGTTCTTCTCCAAAGTAAAAATGACCATTAAAGGTAAACATTTTGAGGTGATTCAGATCATTAAGACAGTTATTGCTAAAGACACTCATGAAAGAGAACTTCTAGAAACGTTTAGGAAAGTGGCAAGAATGATGGGCAAAGTGTGTTTAAAGTGAAGGTAAGTTTTGAGGAAGATTAATGACAATGCATCTTTTACTGTAATAAATCTTTTAAAATTTAACCATTCACTATATTTTTCAATCACGCCTAATAGTTTATAGTCTCCTATAGTTGGGGCTATCATTAGATTTAATAGTCACAAGAACAAAGATTTATACAATGGCATGGGAGTAGTTACCAGTGAAAAGAATATCCTATTATCCTGTATGTATACAGAAACAATTAGGAGATTACCACTTATTTATTTATTTATTTGAGATTCCTATTTCAGAGTTACTGTTTCTCCTGAACCTATGAGTAGAGTAATATGGTTAAGAGAACAGGCTCTGGTGTTGGAATGCTCTGGTTCAAATCTAGACTTTGCTATTAATTAGCTATCTGACCTTGACAGAAATGTGAAACATCATTTTGTAATTTCCTTCTCTACAGTATATATGGATGATGAAAACATCTGTATCATATAAATATCAAATAATTCAATATTTTGAATGTAGGTATTAAGAAACATTGGATGTAGCTGCAACTGATATCCTCAGTTTGTTTATGACATCCTTGGAGAAAATAATAGTATCTAGAGAAATGCTGAAGTGAAAATTATAGAATGGCATGCTAGAGAACTAGATATAAAGGAGGGTTCCTCCTTTAGTTTGTTAGGTTTTAATTTGGAAATTGAAAATATATTTTGAGCTGAGTAAGAGGATGACTATATCCAAAGAGTAGTAAGGCCTTGAATGACTGGAAAAAAGTCAACGAACTCAGAAAGATCTTCTAAAGATCATCTATTCACTAATTTTAGCCCATGGTGATATGAATATGAAATATTAACAATCTAAAATGACATATGCAATACTTTCTGTCATATACAAATAGAGAAACTATTATCATCTCAGGAAAATGTAATTTAATTGGTCCCATAGTGATCTTACTACTCTATATTTTAGTGGAATTTTTAATTTATAGTACATATATACTTAAAAATAAAATAGAAATTTCATAACTACTTACATAATTTTTTGCTTAAAAACCACTTGATTATCTGCATCACCTATGATTAAGGTAGTATAGTGAAAATTCGGTGTTGTTCTTTTAGTTTGTAGCTGTTCAAAGTTTCTTAATATGACAGTCACCAATATTTCTGCCTTAGCATCATTATATCTTGCAATCTTCAAAAAAGAACAGGCATAAGAGGTGTTAAAAAAATAATCCTACTAATAAAACTCAGCTCCTAGTCTACTTATCGGTAGCTCTATTTCCAAGAAGACAATCAAAATACTTAAGAGATTAAAAAAATTTTTTACCTGTTCTACTTCAAGTTCATATTTTGGTAGATACATCACAGCTTCTTTTATCTGGGTCCCAAAAGGGGGATGTCTATTTAAAATCTAAACACATTTACATAATTATATTCTTAGCACAATATTTAAAATTCTTAGTAAGATATTTTTAGTATCAACACAACTAATAATATTTATCACCCAAAACCTCAGTAAATAAAAATACTTATGTCTATGAAAAATAAAATAATTTTAATATAAGTAAAGATATAAAAGTAAGGTTTTTTAATTTAAATATAATTCTGGTAATATTAAGAAAAAGTGAATTTTACATACTAGTTCAAGTTTCCTTGCATCTGTTTCTTCTATTTTCTTAAAGGAAGTCAAACCTGCATTTACCATGGCATTTGACAATGTTATACCTGTGGAAAATTTATCAAAGAACATTTTTTTTTGGAGACAATGTCTCGCTATGAGTTCAGGCTGACCTAGACTCATTATGCAGCCCAGGCTGGCCTTGAACTCCTGGTTATTCTCCTGCCTTAGCCTCCTGAGTGCTGAGATTATAGGCATGCACCACCACATCCGGCCCAAAGAGCAATTTTTAAATGAAATCTATACTTAATTACTTAACAACTACATTAGTAAAAACTTTTTAATGATTCAGTCAATCTGCTATGATTTATGTATGGTTTGAATGTGTACCCCAAAAGTTTGTGTGATGTAGATCTGGTCCTTGGTACAGCAGTGCTGAAGTGGTGCAATTTTTAGGAGGAAAGGCCCAGTAGTGGAAGGTAATAAGGTCACTGTAGCTTCACCCTCCTATGAGGATTAATGCTGGTATCTTAGAATGGGTTGGGTCTGGTAGGAATGAGATAATTTCAATGAAAATGGGTTGTTACTTTAAAAAAAAAGTAAGCTCTGATTCCTCTCAATCTTTTCCTTCCAGTCTATTCTTGAGTATTCTATTAGTCATTTTACAATACAGCTTCTAGTATTCATACTTCCTTAATAGTCATTTCCATTTCCCTCAAAACTTTTCCTGACTTTTAACTTCTTAATTCATAGTCACTATTGAAAATCAATTCATCATGCTCACTAAGAATTTAGATTTAGTCTTTTGTTTAGATTATATTACTTCTTTATCATATCGGTTTTCTCGTGGGAAATACCTGGCTATACTTAGTATGTATGTAGAACACGTTACTGTTTGGCAGTCAAGAGAGACCAGAGTACTATTTTCCAAATTTTGTATGGAACCCCCTTTCCAGTCTAGAATACTTGCCTTTGTGGTGTGGCATTTGGCTTGCTAGGGCTTCAGTAGGAAGATGAGCCTTTCTATCAGAAATCTCTACCCGATTTTGACCTGACTTTACTTTCACTAGCTAATCCTAAAGTCTTCTGGTCAATGTTCTACTACCCCACTGATTTCAAATTTTACAGAAACAATAAGTAGGACTTCAAAGAAGAGCTGGAGAATAACACAAAAATCCCCAAAGGCTCATTACATAATTTTTAATGTCCCCAAGACACATACAAAATCATAGAACTAACAAGGTTCTCAGTCATGGGATAACGGCTCTCTGTTTAGAATTATACCTATTTAAGAAGGGTTAAGTCAAAGTCAGAGGTACCATACTGAAAAATACTTTGTGTCAGAATAAAAGTCCTTTACCCTTATCCCAGTTTTTGTAATGTTTTTCAGTGTCTACCTTATTTATACTAGGATCCAGTAGACAAACAATAATCAGGCACAATCTTTTTTCTAAATCTCTGTGAAGATAAGAACTGCTATCCTATTATTATTGAAAATAGAAAAGTTAAGATAAAAATAAGTGATACAGTTTTCTGTAATTAATTGGGAATAGCCAAAATTGTTAACTCTATATCTTGTCATTGAGTTCACAGCAAAATACTTGTCATAGAAGTGGAAGAGACAGCAACACATTGTTAGTTAGTTAATTACTAAAACAAAGTTCACTCTTGGTATGAAAACAAATTTTACAGTGAAAGTATTTTTATTAATTTTTTCATGCACTACTCCGTTGATTTCATATGGAATGATTTAAGCAGATGCAATGAAAATCAGATTTTGAAAAATAAAGTATAATACCTTACACTGGCTTATAAGTACATCTTTTCATTAAAGGTCTGTAATAATTTTCTTAATAGCAAAATACAAAATAAATTGTAGGCACTGCTAACCTACCTGTTTGTGTTCAGTACCTACCAATTTTTTCCAGTTGTTTGGATACATGCAGAGAGTTCTCCCAAAGTTTACACCTAAAGCATTTAGTTAAAATCAAACTATTCAGTAATATAGCAAACTTCTTTTCCTGAGCAGCCACAAAATCTGACAACCCTAAAAAAAATGTTTACAATATTAAACTTAGCATAATAGTTAACTAGAAAAATAATGAAAATCCATTAATTCTGTTTACATACATCTTGTTATTCGTGAGCCACTTCTGAAAATCTTTGAGATATCTTGTGTCAAAGCAAAATCTTGTATAGGAATGCATCCCAGCTGAGCCTGAATGAGACTGAGGAAAAAAGAAATTTCATAACTTCCATTTGAAAGATACTACCTCACATATTTGATATCACTGAATGAAGTATTCCTTCTTAGAATTTCTCTCTGCCTTGATTTCTATGATACCACATGATTGTATATCTTGTATTATTGTTTCAGGTCTTTGTTAACTTTCTTTTCCCAATTTCTGAAAGTTCAGTCCTTTTTTACACTTTTTTTCCCACTCAAATTGTCTTTCTCTCAAAAATTTCAGTTTATTAACAAAGAAAGAACTGATAGAAAAATGTGGGTGAGGTGCTTACTTTAAATGTTGGATAAATAAAACTTATGAAACTATCTACAGGTGTACAATATGGAGTACATGCAAAATTGCTAAAGTGAAAATAGTTTTGAAATAATTTTTGATATTTTTTTAAATTTTTGATATTTAAAGCAATATTTCTAGTAATAAAAAAGACTTTTGATGTCAACCTTCCTTGTTGGAAACCTTATTGTAAGAAGTAGTAATAAAACAGAGATGGGAGAAGAGAAAAAAGGATTTATGCCAGCTGGCACAGAACCATGGCAGGGCTATGTGTTTTTCTCCACCAAATAAGGCAAGCAATGATGTTCTGTGATCTTACACTGCTTCATTTTCTAGGTATTTATGTCTGAGTACTTAGGTCTTTTGATTTAAATGGTGCAACTTGAAGTGAAATGATTTTGTTTAGGTGACTTAATAAAATAAGCCAGCTAAGGAATTTTTTTCTCTTTCAGCTAGAGGAGGGCATTCTTTTTTTGGGATACTTTCAGACATTTCATTGAATTTTAGTTTCCCAATACCCTAATAAAATCATTTTATATTACATGCATTTCCTCAGGCATAGCCATAGTTTGGATTAAAAGAGTTAATATTCTCTTTCTCAGCTGTATTTCTCTAGCAATTCAAAAAGTCTTAGGGATTATGGAAAACTTAAGAGATCATACAGTTCAATTCTTTCATTTTACACATGAAATAAGTAATGTGCAGAGTAACTGTGACTTGACCACATTTATGTTGGTATATGAAGGACTAAGCTAGAACTAGAACCTGGTGTCTTGATTTGCTCAACATATACTCTGTTGCATCCATATTGAACCAAATCAAGGTATTTTCCCACAAAAATTTATTGTAACACTTTATCTGTAATTTCAGCATTTCCATTAACTGTCTTAAGTTGAATAATACAGTCTTTTGATCGGGGCTGGCAGATATATACCATTATTTAGATTAACATTATAATCTCCCACCTTTTGCATTTTACTTAAGCATAGCAAGAAGAGAATGTGTATGTGGGGGGTGTCATTTATTAATCATAAATTTACATACAGTCTTTTGGTAGAGGATGCTGGCTAACAGTACCATTTTGGTGGACTCTCTCATATACCTGTTATATGTTGCATTTATGATCTATTTTTTTTCAAAGGTAATATTAATCATTTTAGTTTGACATTTTTATCCTTTAAGTTTCTGCCTTCTTAATTTCTTAGTTTTAATCGCTTAGTCTTCTCTCATCAACACTAACTCCATCTTTCTTAACTGGGATTTTTCAATGAACTCATACAGTATGATATGGCACTACCACGCAAGTCCTAGACTGCTTAAATCTGAATTTATTTTACTCAAAAAAGTTTAAATGCAAATGATCTTGTCATGGCTAAACCTAATCCTTACTGAGTCAATACCTTACTTCATTTAATTCTTACAATAACCCTGATTTAGTCATTATTTAACTACCATTAGTTCCTAGCAGAAAAGGTATCATTGCATTTGTCATTGCAAAGTACAGTGTAATCTTAAATTACTATTCCAATTACTAATCCTCTACTATGAACTACCCATTCTTTACAGAAAAGTTATCCACAGCCATATATGCATTCCTTCATTCAGGCTTTTGCTTTTACTATTTGTCTCTCCCAGAATGCTACTACCATTTAGAAAACATTGATTACATGTATTTTAATACTGCCCCAATATTTCTATGTGCATGGTTGTCATTCAAGATACCTTGAAAGTTCCTGATAAGAAGAATAAGAAGCATGTTTTCTATTTTTACCTTGCATCAACAGAACACATACTCAACAAATGGTTGTTGATTAAGAATATTCATAATTTATTTTAGTTAAAACCCAAAAGTTCTTAGAAATTAATTTCACATCTACATTCTGACTCTGTATTTTTATGTAAATTTTTTGTATTAAAGAAAACATTTAAATGTTTTAAAACTAAGACAGAAAACCTTCATAATTAATAATCGTAAACCAATAGTATAATAACACATTTAAAAATTAACAATTATTACCAATTTACTTTCATTTCTCTTGTTTTAATTCTTCCTTTCATTGGAAATCTGTATATAAAAATACATAGCAAAATTTTATTATTTATGTTAATTAGGTGAAACTTGTTAAGAATTATTTAAAACATATGTAATTTCTTTACCTAATAGTTGTCCAATTTGGATCTTTGTTCAAAGTATTCAGTGTTTTCTTTTCATTTATCCTTAATTGTACATCTAGAAATTCGTTGCAGCTGGCTATCATCGCAACCTATAAAATTTAGGCATTTTTCCATTAAATGTTTTTTACCAATTTTCTCTCATTATCTTTCTCCAAATTTATTTTTTATGCTGCCGTGGGCCATCATAATTTTATTAGTTAACAGAATTAAGAACCTGCTTTATATATTTTGCTTCATTAAGGATTCATTAACAAAGGCTTATAAACATCTGTTATATAACAAACCTCAGGGCATATAATGTTATTATTAGACATCAGGACTATACCAGTAAGATTGTAAAGATTAACAAGATAAATTTTTCTATATTAAGCTCAAGGCTTCCCATACGGTAAGAAACACCCAGTAAATACTGTGTTGCTCTTAAATGTGATGCTTCATAAATGTAAACTGCTTCTGCTACTCCTATTCTTACTACTTTCCCTTCTTTGGTTTGCAAATCATTATCCCAATTATTTGGTAATGGAAATTACTTAGCAATTCTTTAGATATCAACAAATTTTCATTCTGTAGTGCAGGCCTGCTGGCAGGCATTCTGTGTGCTTTGTTTTCCCACATCTATAAAACGAAATTAACTTGTTTTAGTTCTCTTACACACTTGCTGAACTCAAGATCAGACAAATCAATGTTAATACTGGGTATTTTTTACTCTTGATTTCTTATTAGTTAAGAATCATATTTATATGTGACTCTTTAATAACTAAATTCTATTGTGTATTTTTGTACAATAACAAACTTTGAAATTTAAAGTAAAAAAGATGAATGGTTTATATTTGAGAAAAAAATGTTTTCTTTTGCAAATCTCTTGCTTCATATTTATGTCTCCAGTAAAGGGAGAAAGGACCAATGCAATTTTCAGATACTAACAATACATCTGCAGTCTGCTCACTGCTGCAACGGAGAGCTGCCTCACTATTAATATTTAGCATAACTTGTTGTTATATTCATTTCTTCACAATCAATTCTTTCTTCTGGACTATCACTAATACTATTTTGTTTCCATTGTTATTGTGATTCTGGTGCAACAGATTTAGGGAGGGGTTGCAAGTACATAGCACCATGGTACCATGTTACCATATTGCAACTCACTGTCCTTCAATCATGGTAGACTTTCCTACAACATCATGCTATACTGTCTTGGAATATTTCTTGCATAGAAGGCACTACCAAGGTAACCAGTATTATCATGAAAATTGTAAGGTAGATGCCACACCTATTTGGGGTATATATAGATATATATAAATTTTCTTAGTTCTGGTAAGAAATATAATTGTAATGATAATATATCCTAGGAGGATAGTATTCTATGTTATCATGATCAGAGAAATAATGAAAGAGATATAAGCATTATTAAAAATGCTTTCCACCACTTCAAAGATACCACTATGTATTACAGCAGCCACTGATATTTTCCTACTAATCTATCCATAACTCTGCAATGTTTGTATTGTTCCTATCCTATTTCATAAATGGATGCATGTCTATCATTATGTGTTCCCTACAACAACCATTGAGAAAAGTTAATGATTATTCAATAGGTCACTCATGTATAGCTCTATTTATTTTCTTTAGAAGCCACTTTGAAGATACCAAAGTATAGTACAACAACTATTGATAATCTCCTACCTCTTCTGTCTGTAATTCACTATTATTTGTCTATTGTTTTCCTGAGAAACTATCTTGTAGATAACAATATGTAAAACAATAACCATGATGATTTCCTACCACTTTGTCTGTAATTTGGTAAGCCCCCCTATTATTATGTTATCCTTCCTTTTTACTCTTTAAAATTTTTTTTAAAAAATGCTTTCCAGCAGAATTCATTCTTAAATTGTATGAGATATACACATTAGTTTCTCTAATAATATTTTGTACTATTATATCAGTTGTTTCTCCAGTGTTACTTTGCACTATATCATAAGCTATTTATTTTCTAGTGAAAATTAACTTACCAGATCTGATAAAGTTTCTTCTCCAGTGATTGTAGAAAATTTCTTCACTGTTTCAAATGTAATATAATACCAAGCCATCAATCTTCCTGCCTCTATGAGAAAACATGAAAAAATAAACATTCCCCCAATTAGCTGAAATAACTTCCTTTTTCATCAGTTTGACATTTTCTCAACATTTATTCTGCACCTATAATGACATCTGGTATACCTAGAAATGTAGAACATACAATCTCTTAAACTTATAGGTTGGCTAAGGAGATGACCACATAGAAATAGCAAGAGGACAAAATCCAGTGAATAATATTTATATACAGTCATAAGTAGAGAAGAAGAAATTAAAACTAATTTCAGTGATCAATATGGAATGGCCTAGTAGAGAAAATGGTCTTGAGCAAGATTTTAAAGTGAATAATATGCCTTTTCAGAGAAGAAATAAAATCAATTATACCTGGAGAAATTAAAAATTTGTTTATTAAAAGAGAACAGTAATAAAAAGACTATCTTTATAGTACAGTTCTGAGGAATATGGCTTGGTGGTGATTTGAGTTCAGGTCTCTGACTGAGTTAGAAACATAGCTTCCCCATGGAGGAGGTAGGTGGGTTAGTTTGATATAAATTAGATACCAGTTCCTAATGTGCTGTTGGGATGATAAATGTGCTCATCTCAGAAATATTGTGAAGAAGATTAAATACAACTTTAAAAAATATATACTTGGCTTAACATTTAATAAATGTTGCCTACTATTTTATTAAGAAATGCAAATAATAGATTTGAGAGGCCACTAAAGAGCTCACAACTTTTAAAAGGAGTTTAGGTTTTGCATTTGATTTGTAAAAAATAACATAGGACCAGTTAAAATTCTCCAGCCACATTTTAATTAAATTGGAGCCTTAAGATAAACTGACTAGGAACATAGCTCAGTGGCAGAGTGTTTGCCTAGCATACACAGGCCCTGGGTTCAGTCCCAAGTACTGCAAAAAACAAAGTGACAAACAGACAAAAAACAAAATAAAAACAATAAAAATAAAAACACAAAATAAGACAAACTGTTCTGAAAATAGAACAGTAGGTCAACTGGGGGTGGGAACTAAATAGATGGGGTAGGAACTGATGGAGTTTACTTAAGAGGTTACTGGATGCAATTATAAGTTGTCTAAAAATTCTGAACCATTTCAAGCACTGTGAGCATACCCAAAAAAACAGCTGAAAAGAGGAAGCTGGCATATTGTACTCAAGGAAAGAATCAATATTTACGTGATGTGATTGCTGAAGAGGGGAATATTTTTTGGCATTCCAACAGAGTTACAGGCACAAAAGACATAGTACACACGAAGTAAAATCAGAGATGGAGAAAGAACCAAACGAGCCTAAAGGCCACTTTCTGAATTAAGGGACCAGTAAAAATGTTCACCAAAATGAGGGTGATACAGTGGATCTAGAAAGAGAGTTTCTAGCTGGGTGGAGTGGTGCACACCTGCAATCCCAGCACTTGGGAGGCTGAGGCAAGAAGATCATACACATTGAGGTCATCCAGGCTACATAGTAAGATCCTGTCTTCAAAAAAGGGGGTGGGGGGGTGTTTGCATGTTGGAATGTAGCTCAGTACAGAGGTCCTGAGTTCAATCAGTAGTGCATGCACACACAAGGAATTCATATATAAAAAATTAAAAGACAAAATATTATTAATACAAAGGAACAAGAAGTCATAAAAAAAGAATTAATTATAAATAGTATATAAAGATTTTCCTATATCCAAGCAAAGATGGGCCAAATAATTATGAAACAAACTTTTTGCTAAAGGCACCTAAAGTAACTAAATGAAATACAAGAATCTTTGGTAAAGCATCAAAGAGCTAACAAAATATCTATCCAGAAGAAGGTTAAGCCCAAAGAGATAAAATAAAATTCACTAGGTCTTACTCCTACAAACTGAGATTTGTAGGTCTGTGGTGCAGTTAATTGCATTCTTAATGTAATAGCACCTCTAGCTGATTTTGACTGTAGGTAGTCGACCCAACCACATTTTAAGAAACATCATCCTAGTCTGTAATACAGAATATTTTCAGCTCTAAGACTGGATCATCTTTCTGGTGTTTGATGACTAACTGGACGTGGGATGGCTGCAGAATGACAGAGAAACCAAAGGTATCAAATATTTAATCTTAGGCTTAGTAAAAATACTAATGAGAACAACATACAAACAAAGATGTATTTTCTTAGCCTTAAACAAAATAACAACTCTTGCTACATTAAAATATTTTTGCATTCATTATCCCACTTGATCAACCCATTAAGGTAAATAGGACATAAAATATATTCCTGTTTTTCAGACAAATGAACTGAGGATTGGTTAGAGTATGGCTGCAGTTAGCAAACAGTAGAACTGGAGGTGAAATTCAGGTACTCTGAAACCTAAATTTTATTTTCATTTCACTTTACATTGTTCCACATCAAGTTAACTTTTATATGCTTCAATGTGTCTAGTATCATGTCACATAAGTTAAATTTTCAATAAAAAATTGAGGATCAAATTTTGTGGCAAAAGTGAGAGACTAGAATCAAAACTACAATTTTGAATTCATATGTAGCTGTAGCTGTGAAGGTAAATAATTTTTTCAAAGATAGGAACATAAATTGGAAATGTTTTTTTGTTTTTTGTTTTTTTCTCCGGTACCGGGAACCGAACTCACAACCTTGCACTTGCCAGGCAGGCGCTTTTGCCGCTGAGCTAAATCCCCAGCCCCATAAATTGGAAATGAAGATGCAAAGTTAGAAACTCTAAGAAGCCCATGGTGAGCACAAAAGTGAACAAGAAAAACTGATTTAAAAAGCAGAAAAAAAAGTTGAAATAGTAAAGTGTTAAGAAGAGAAAATCAATTAGGTAGTATTCACTGAGGACTGAAAAAGAAGAAGAAATATTATATAGATCATTTATTAAATATGTTAGAAGAACATCAGTGGATTCAAGAAGCACTGTGGGGGTTGAAGGTGGGCACGAATATGAGAAAAATATTCTTCATGAGAATGAAATTATCTAAGAATAGATGAAGAAAATACATTAATAACTTTCATGCTCCCTGTAGTGACACACCTTAGAATATGAAAAAGTTAATTCTCAGACAAAATTAGGCTTATCAGAATAAGGACCAGCAAAGAAGGGGAAGAATGTTATTAATCTAGGACTGAGTCAGGACAATAATTATTAAAAACTTAACTTTAGCCAGGTGTGGTGGCACCCACTTTTAGTCCCAGCTACTTGGGAGTAAGACAGGAGGATTATAAATTTCTGCCCACCTAGGAAACTTAGTGAGACCTTATCACAAAATAAAAACTTTTAAAAAGTGATGGGGATGTAATGTAGCACTCCCAAGGCTCAGTTCCTGGTACCATAATAAAAAACAAACAATCCAAAAAAATCTTAAACATATTAAATACAAATAAAGCATGATGCAGAACTATGTATTTCCATAGTATAGTTAGAAATATATGAATTTACATTAAAATGGAAGATACATGCCAAATACTAACAGAGTCTGACTTCTGAAAAAAAAAACCTTTTTTTTCCTTCCCCAACTTTCTTTTCTTTTTTTTTTTTGGTTTTTCTCCGGTACCGGGAACCGAACTCATGACCTTGCACTTGCCAGACAGGCGCTTTTGCCACTGAGCTAAATCCCCAGCACCCCTCAACTTTTCTTGAAAGGATTAACTACAACAATGAAGTTGATTTTTCCCCAAAAAATTCTACTCATGAGTGCTAAAAACTATGAAATATTTTTTTTTCTTTGTTTTGTTGTTGTTGCTGGATTTGGCTTGTTTTGGTTTGGCCTGCTTTTTGTTTTCAGAGATAGGGTCTTGCTATGTAGTTCAAGCTAACCTTGAACTCACTTCGTAGCCCAGGCTAGCTTTAAACTTCCAAGGGATCCTCCTGTCTCAGCCTCCCCAGTGCTGAGATTACAGGCATGTACCACCATATTCAGATGAAATATTTTTTCTTAAACTAAATATAGGGGGGAGGTAGCAGGGCTCAGAACATCTCCCCCTAAATATGACATCTTGAATATTGAATATTTTAAGCTGAAGGAATTTTATAAACAGCATGTGCAAGGCCTTTCTGACCTTTCCATGAAGCAGTCATAAAACTCCCATGTGAGAGGTACCCTGTCAATACCTGTAAGAAAATGGTATCTTTATCCCTGAAGGTAAAGAATGTAGAAAAGAATCTAAATGAAAAGACTTTGCTAAGTTTCCTCCAGGTTACTACACTTAGCTTTTAGCCCCTTTGTCCTATCATATTCCTCCATGACTTTCCACTCTTCATCAAACTTAGCATAAAGATATTCAGGTTTAACCACTTCTTTGAACCTTCAGTTGCTTATGATGTGTCTCATGTCATATAGAACTTATATGAAAATCTGTATGCTTTCCTATTGGCCCCAGACAATCAATGAACCTATGAGTGAAAGAAAAGGTATTTTTTTCCTACCCTATAAGAATCTAAGTAAGTATCTACATAATAAATGTTAGAATAGTTAAGAACTGGAAAAAAGTATCTATAATATTTATAAAAGGTCTAAAGCACTCCAAATATTGAAGCATTTCAAACTCTCTGCTAAAAATCACCACGATCGGTGAAGACAAATTCTGGGTCTGTAAAAAAAAAAAAAATCAAACAAAAATAAAAACAAAAAACCTCTATATTTTACAAACAAGACTGCTATAAATTTATTATACTTTATGGCTAATAATAATTATATTGTTAAGACTGGAAATCACAATTTAATTTTCCTTTAACTTTTATTTTGTATTATATTATTTATTTGTTTTTGAAACAGGATCTCACTGTGTTATCCAGGCTGGCCTCAAACTCACAATCCTCCTCGTCAGCTCCCTGAATAGTTGGGATTACAGGCATGTGCCACCACCTCTGGCTCATCATCTAAATTTTAGTACAATGTTTTTATTTAGTCTTAAATGAGAAATTATTACATTGACTAACAACCACAGAAAAATTACCTGTTGGTTTGAAATTAACATCTCCATCCATCTTTATCAAATCCAGGGATGATAAGTCATTCAGATTCTTCAAACACAATTCTGTTTAATTTTAGAAAGCATATTTTAATTTTAGTAAATGATAAAACGAGGCAAAAAAGAATTTATTACTAAATATACTAAAGTTGTGTTATGTTATTTCTGGGAAGAATTATAGTTCCTACTAAAGCTGTCAGAAAAAAATCATTAAAATAAAGAAGTCAACTAATATGCTAATAAGATATCTTAATAGTAACAACAATATAAATAGTAAAAATAACATTCAATAGGTGATAAAATAACATTTACCACTTGGGGCATACATATATTAACTTATTTAGCCCTCAAAATAGCACAATAGGGAATCATCAATATTATTTCTATATACGGATTAGGCAACTAAAGAACAGAAATTAAATAACTTGCTCTAGGTCTAAGTACTTTGTTCTCTGTCCTCCATTATGGCAGTAGTTTTCATTTCTTTTTTCTTTAAATTTCCATCAAAGATGTTTATGCCCAAATTATGAAGAGTCCAATACAAAGTTTATTCTAAAACTTACCTATCTCTCCCCCTTCTCATTTTTGTTTTGAGGAAACCACTTAATCTTTTTTAGCTGATGTTTTTAGCATTTACTTCTATTTCTCTGAAATATGCTGTTATTACTACCTAGAAAGGACCACTGAAGAGGAAATAATGCTAGTCCACGCTCACAAATCAGTAGGGATTTATGGACCTCTAATTGTAGTCTATTGCTTCAAATTTTCACTCTGCCCCACACTACAGCCCAGACGTGAGGTAGCTGAGAGCAGAGTGAGTACCACACCTGTTCAATCCAAAAAGAACAGAAGCAGTTTTCAAACTCTTTAATGCAATTGAAAGGGAAGCAATACTCCTACATTCATTCCTGGAAGTAAGCATTACCCTGATACCAAAACCAGAGAAGGATCCAATCAAAAAACAAACCTATACGCCAACTCCCTAATGAAGAGAGATGCAAAAAAAATTAAAAAATTAAAAAAAATCCTCAATAAATGCTGGCAAACAGAATGCAGCAAATCATCAAAAAGATTATATACCATAATCAAGTAAGATTCATCTCAAGGATGTAGATATGGTTCAACATATGCAAGTCAATAAATGTAATACGCCATATTAATAGAACCAAGGACAGAAACCATATATATGATTATCTTAATGCATAAAAAGCGTTTGATAAAGTCCAACACCCATTCAAGATAAAAACCCTAAAGAAAATTGGAATAGAAGATCTTTATCTCAACCTAATAAAGCCATCTATAATAAACCAACAGCCAACATCATACTAAATGGACAAAAATTGAAAGCTTTCACTATAAAATCAGGAACAAGCCAAGGATGCCCACTATCACTTCACTTATTTCAGTGTAATTCTGGAGACATTAGGTAGAGCAATTAGACAAGAGAAAAAATTAAGGGTAGGAAAGGAAGAAGTTAAATTACCATTATTTGTGAATGATGTGACACTCCATAAAAAAGACCCCAAAAACTCTACCAGAAGACATGTAGATTTAATAACCAAATTAAGTAGCATAGCTGGATACAAAGTCAACACTCAAAAATCAATAGCAGTCCTATACACGAATAACAAACTCACTGAGAGAGAAATCAGGGAAACAACACCTTTCACAATAGCATCCAAACAAATGAAATACCTAGGAATCAATCTAATGAAGAAAGTAAAAGACTTTTATATTGAAAACTACAGTACTCTGAAAAAGGAGATCAAAGAGGATATCAGAAAATGCAAAGATATCCCTTACTCAGGATGGGAAGAACCAAGATAGTGCAAATAGTCATACTTCCAAAATTGTCATACAGATTTAATACAATCCAAACACCAATATCATATCTCACAAAATTAGTGAAAACAATCCTAAAATTCATTTGGAACCAGAACAGACCTGGAATAGCAAAAGCAATTCTGGGCAACAAAGACAAGGAAGGGGGCATCACAATTCCTGACTTGAAATAATACTACAAAGCTACTGTGATAAAAACAGCACAGTATGCACAAAACTAAAGTCAAAATGGATCAAAGATCTAAATACTAAAACAGAAACACTAAATCTGCTGGAAGAGAAAATAGGTAGAAATCTTGAAGACACAGGGGTAGGCAGAGAGTTCATAAACAAAAACCAAACTGCATGGGAAATACTTCAAAGAATCAACAACTGGGATCTTATCTTACTCTTCTGCACATCAAAAGAAATCACCAACAGAATGAAAAGAAAATCCATGAATTGGGAAAAAAATTTAGCCAACTGTCTCTCAGACAAAGGACTTCTATCTAGAACATATAAAGAATTGAAAAAAATCATGCCCCCAAAATTCAAAGACTTAACCCAAAAATGGGCATCTGAGATGAATACAAATTTTTCAGATAAAGAAATACAAATGGCACATAAATACATGAAAAAATATTCAGCATCACTGGTCATTCGAGAAATGCAAATTAAAACAACACTGAGATTCCATCTCACCCCCCACAAAGAAAAGTTATCGTCAAAAAATCAACCAGTAACATATGCTGATGGGGCTGAGGAGAAAAAGGAACCGTTCTCCACTGTTGGTGGGAAGGTAAACTGGTACAATCACTATGGACATCAGTGTGCAGATTCCTCAAAATCTAGGATTAGAGGTCCCATTCGACCCAGCTATTCCCCTTCTGGGTTTTTTTCCAGAAGAACTGAAAACATACCACAGCGATATGTGTGCACCCATATTTGAGAAGCATAATTTGTAATAGCTAAGTTTTGGAAACAACTCAGATGTCCATCAACTGAGGAATGGTTAAAAAAGATGAGGTATTTTTATACAATGGAGTACTACTCAGCTATAAAGAAAGCTAAACCTGATAAACCTGAGATAAACCCACTTTATAGGTAAGTGGATGCAACAAGAGATCATACTTCTAAGTGAAATAAATCAGCCTTGTATGTATAAATATCGTATTGTCTCCTTAGTGAAAGAAGCTGAAAGAGTAAATAAAATCCAAAAGGTACAATGGATATTGTGAAAGGGAAAGAAACTGCTCAAAAGGAAAGAACAACTGGGACGAGGGAAAGGAGAAAAGAAAGAAGGGGAAAAAAAAAAAAATATATATATATATATATATATATATACATACATACATATATACATAAACAAGATAGCTAAGATAATTGTACTACTAATATCTATTAGTTCATTGAAAGGAACAGTTAGTGCTTATATTGTTGGATCAATTTTGCATGCCTATAGCCGGTAATCTAAGCAACTACTTTGAAGATAACAATATGCAATGTAATAACCATTGTTGATTTCCTATCATCTTGTTTCAAAATTCTGCACTGTTTTTATTTTTTTGTTCTCTTTAAAACAAAACAAAAAACCCAGCATGGTACTGGCAAAACCAAAACAAACAAACAAACAAAACCAGACCTATAGATCAACAGAACAGATTCAAAGATGTAAAAACAATTCCAAACATACTGATCCACTTTATCTTTGACAAAGGAGCCAAATACCTTCACTGGAAGAAAGATAGCCTTTTTAATAAATGGTGCTGGAAAAACTGGCTTTCCATACGCCAAAGATAAAAACTAGACCCATATCTTTCATCATGCACTAAATTAAAATCAAAGTGGATCAAAGATCTAAATATTAAAACAAAAACACTAAATCTGTTTGAAGATAGTAGGTAGAACTCTTGAAGATACTGGTGTAGGCAAAGACTTTATGAACAAAGCCCTCATCGCACAGGAACTATCACCAAAAAATCAACAACTGGGATCTCATCTTATTAAGAAGCTTTTTATGCAGAAAAAAAAAAACTACCAACAGAATAAAGAGACAACCCACAGACTGGTAAAAATTTTAGCCAGTTGTCCCTCAGACAAAGGACTAGTATCCACACTATATAAAGAACTCAAAAAAAATCAGATCTCCCCCCAAATTTAAAGACTCAATCCAAAAATGGGCATCTGAAATGAATAGATACCTCTCAGATGAAGTACAAATGGCAAATAAATGTATGAAAAAATGTCCAACATCACTAGTCACTTGTGAGATGAAATTAAAATAATGTTGAGATTCCATCTCACTCCAGAAAGAATTAACTATGATCAAGAAATCAATCAATAACAAATTCTGGCAGGGCTCTGGGGAAAAGAATCCTTTTCCATAGTTGGTGGGAGTGTAGACTGGTGCAACCACTGTAGAAATCAGTATGGAGATTCCTCATAAAACTAAAACTAGAGGTTCCATTTGACCCAGCTATTCCATTTCTTAGTATCCCCCCCCAAATTAAAAGCATCATACCACAGTGATATATGCACGCCCATGTTTATAGTGGTACAGTTTGTAATAGCTAAACACTGGAAACAGCCAAAATACCCATCAAAAGATGAATGCATAAAGAAAATCTGTTTTTTTTAATACAATAGAGAACTACTCTGCAATAAAGAAGGATAAGATGGAGACATTTCTAGCTAAATAGAAGCACCTTGAGACCATACTCTTAAGTGAAATAAACTGGACACATGGTCAAATACTGCTTGGTTTCTCTGGTATGAGAAACCACAAGAGTAAATAAGGCAAAAATGTATAATAGATATGGGGAAATGAGAAGCAAATGTTCAAATGAGAAGAAGAACAAGGAAGCGGGTAGGGGGAAAGGAAAGATGGAAAAAAAAGAATAGAAAGAAAAAATGGAAACAAAGCTTTTGTAAATAAGGAGGGGAGTGATGGGGAGGGGTTAAAAGGAGCAGAGGGAAGAGGGAAAACAAGAAGCAAGATATATGATATACAGTAAAATTAAAAATTTAAATTTTAATTAAAAATTTAAATTTTAATTATTTTTAATTAAAATTTACATTTTTAATTACAATTAATGTACAATTAAAAATAGATCAGCAGCTCATTAAAAAATCCTTAAAGGCAAGGTTTTTGGGAAATACTGTAGTTTAAGCAACACTGCTTAGTCAGCTTAATAGTTTAAAATGCTTGCTAACTAAGGATTTGAAGTCTTTTCTTTCTCAGTAACCCACTATGAAGGCATTTCATTACCCAGTAATCAGCCGGTTAGTCAAGGAAGAATATTTACCACACTTTATACTGAGCACCAGTCTAAACTCTAGGTTTTCAGCAGAGTATCATGCAATAACCCTCTTCTTAGGATTTACACTTTACTGAAGAAAGTGATCAGTACACAAATAATAAACTTTCAGGTATTGAAAGATACTGTGAAGAAACAAAGCTTACAAACCAGAAAAATGAAGTAGCATTTTTAAGATCTTAACTACAGGTTATGTGTATTTCTGATATATGCTACAGTTTGTGATATAAGTAAGAACATAGTCATTTTAACTTTCAAAACATAGATATTACCCTTTCCACAACCCAAGAAAATGATAACAACAGGGAGGTCAGTTAGTCTTACTGTCAATGAATGAAGATTCAAATAGGAAGACCTCTTAGAGGGGATGATCTTTAACAGACACCTGAATGAAATGAAGGTTCAACCCATGTAAAATATTCCAGAATATTTCTTAGAACATAAATATTCTAAGAATAAGGAAAAAGAGTGCAAAGGACCTGAGTCATAATGAGCTGGGCATGTTTAAAGAAGAACATACCAATTTGGAGACAGGAGAATAAAAAGGAGAAAGTGATAAGAGATGAAAGCAGAAAAATAGGCAGAAGGATAGGAAGTAGGATTTTGGGGGGACAGGGGAGCTCTGATGGAAGTTTCCATTGCATTCTTCAAGTGACAAAAGAATTATTAGAAGATACAGAGCAAAAAGACAAGTTTAAGAAACACCACACACTACACTAAGATCTCTTTCTGAGAGATTTAAGGCAGACCTGTAAGAATGATGTGAAAACAATCCCAAAGTACTTTGAAGAATACTGAAAAAGCCACTAAAACAAAGTTACTGCCCCTTGGCTTTCCTTGTGAAGCATGACCTACCTTGCCTGAAAGTAGATCCTGAGATGCTCGTTCCAAAAGTGTCCTGCCTCACACCCCCAGGTAATGAAACACTACATGATTAATTGAATAAGAACGCTGTATTTTGATAGGAAGGCATTGGCACAGATAGGAACAAGAAGCTCATAATCAAGGACCAAAATGTACAATAGATATTGTAGAAAAGGAAGAAAATATTCAAATGGGAAGTGGAACTAGGGAAGGGGAAAAGGAAGAAATGGAAAAGGAAAAAAAGAATACAAGGAAAAAATGGAAACAAAGCTTTTGTAAATAAGGAAGGGGGAAAGAAGTAGAAGAGGGAATGGAAAAAAAGAATTAAGATATATCATGTACAGGTTACAGATTCCTTATGATGCATGTTATCATTATGTACATCTAAAAATTTACCAATAAAATTGATTTTAAAAAGAGGCCCATAATCAAGCAAGGCTTATATTTCAATTAAAGTTAAACTAGAAAAATAAAGGCAACAGAGACAACATTTTCAAAGATCAGGGTCATTTTAAAAATAAAAAACAAGCCAACTTAACATATTATGCAAAGGAAGATATTCTGATAGAGTTAATATATACACTCATTAAGACAAAAGTACAATGCCAGGCATTATTTACATAAAAAAGAAATAATTCATATTTTTTTTTTCTGCAGACAAGGTTACTTTTAATTTACAAAAGAGTACCTTTACTTCCATAATAACTGACTTTTCTCATCAAGGTTTACAGAACATACATTTTTAGGAGTAAACATATCTAACCTTGTAATTTTGCTTCAATTCCATCTTTGTTCAGCCCAGATGTAAAACCTGTACAAATGATTAAAATTTATAAAAAGTAAAATAAAATAGATTTAATTCATCTTTACAGGCTCAATCTATACCTTCACTTAACTGGAGAAAAGTATCTAAATCTCATATGAGGGGCTGGGGCTTTAGCTTAGTGGCATAGTGCCTGCCTGGCAAGCTCAAGGTTGTGAGTTCAATTCCCGGTACCGGAAAAAAACAAATAAAATAAAAATAAATAAATCTCATAAGAAAAAAAGATAGCATAGTGAAATCAAATAAAGCTTAAATATTTATAGAGCATAACATACTGTTTTAAAATCTTTTCAATATCTCCCATCCAAGTACTAACTAGGCCCTACTCTGCTTGGCTTCCAAGATCAGACAATCTTTTAAATATCAATGGTCTATTTTTGACTTATTTTATTGCATAAAAGTGATTAGAAATGCTACATTTTAATAAGAATTGTGCAGACTAAGTTTCTAATGTTTTGCAAATAATAAATTTCTGCCAGGTGATGAATATTTTCTAGTGGATTTTCATTATTAAATGGATGTTTCTAGGAAAAAGTATTTTGTAATGCAACCATTATGGAAGCCTGTATTACTATTAAAGTTGAAAAGACTACAACACAGTAATTTAACCTCTAGACATATACCAACAGATGTACATGTACATGTGTATAGAAGGACATATATTTTATTTTATTTTTTGGTACCAGAGCTCCAACTCAGGACCTTGTGCTTGCCAGGTGGACACCTGTGCCACTGAGCTACATCCCCAGCCCTAGAAGGACATATATAGAAAAAAAGTTCACAGCCACTTTATTTAAAACTAAGGGCCAGGCATGGTGGTGCACACCTGTAATCCCAGCACTCAGGAAGCTGAGGCAGGAGGATCATTGCGAGTTTGAGACCAGCCTGGGCCACAAAGTGAGCTCAAGGCCAGCCTGAACTGCATAGTGAGACAGCATAACGAGACCCAAAAAGACAAAAATAAAACTAAGAATGTCCTTTCATCAAAAGATTCTTAAGAAAATGAAAAGTCAAACCAGTTTAGGAGAAGAAATTTGAATACATATATTTGGCAAAAGACTCTTATCTAGAATACACAAAGAATTCCTATGCATTAATAATGAAAATACAAAAAACCTAAAATAGATTTTAAAAACTTGAATGGGAATTTTACAATATGGAAATATTCCAATGGCTAATAATATATAAAAGATCTTAATGCTAGTATTCATGAGGGAAATGCAAAATAAAACCACAAACACAGAATACAAAGTCAACATTAAACAATCAACAGTTGTTGTATTTACCAATAATGAAAATAATTCCATTTACATTAGTGGTTTTTTTTTTTTTTTTTTTTTTTTTTTGAGACAGGGTCTCACTATGCAGTTCAGGCTGGCCTTGAACTCACTTTGAAACCCAGGCTGGTCTTGAACTCGCAAGGATCGTCCTGCCTCAGCCTCCTGAGTGCTGGGATTACAGGTATGCATCACACCTTAGCTAGGAATCAGCCTAACTAAGGAGGTAAAAGACCTCTTAAAATGAAAATTTCAGAACACTGAAGAAAGAAGTAGGAGACAACACTAGAAGATAGAACAGCTCTCACAGTATGCAGTGTACTAACCATTGCTACTCTCCTACAATCTTGTTTTGAAATTTTATTTATTTTTTACTTTAAAAATAAAAGAAAGAAAACATATTAACAGACAGACATTTACAAAATAACACAAAAACAACATAAGCAATACATATTTTCAGACAAGGTGATAGGAAATTAACAATGGTGGCTGTATTTCATATTTATATGGTCAAATTGGGTACTCAGATAAACAAATCAGGCATGTAAGACTGACCAAACTTATACCATTGTTTTTATTGTTCATTTTTCTTTTCTTTAAAAGAAAGTCCCATTTAAAAAAACAAAGATAGAACAGCTCTTACGTTCATGTATCAACAGAATTCATATTGTTAAAATGGTCATATATCAAAATCTATCCACAGATTCAATACTATTCCCATCAAAATTCCAATGACATTTTTCAAAAAACTAGAAAAATAATCCCAAAATTCATATGGAAACACAAAAGATCCAGAATAGCCAAAAAATCCTAAGCAAAATGGGCAAAGCTGGAGGCATCATAACACTGTTTCAAATGATGCTACAAACCATAACAACCAAAACAGCATGGTACTGCCAGAAAACAGACCCTCAGGTCAATGGAACAGAGTAGAGGACACAGGAACAAACCCACCTAACTATAGCCACTGATTACTGACAAAGGAGCCAAAAGTACACGGTGGAGAAAAAGAAGCATCTTTAACAAGTGGTGCTGGGGAAACCGGACATCCATATGTAGAAGACTGAATTGAGCTCCCTGTCTCTCAAAAATCCATTCAAAATAGATCAAAGATATAGGTATAAAACCTGAAATTTTGAAACTGCTAGAAGAAAAGAGAGAAAACACATGATGCCATAGGCATAGGCAAAGACTTCCTGAATAGGATTCTAATATCACAGAAAAAAAATAGCAAGAATCAAAAAATGGGATGACATCAAACTAAAATGTTTCTACAGAGCAAGAGAAATAACTAGCAAAGTAAAGAGACAGCCTACAAAATGGGAAAATATCCTTGCCAGCTACTCTTCTGACAGAAGGTTAGTATCTAGAACATATTAAGAACTCATAAAGTTCAACACCAAAATCAAATAATCCAGTCAATAAGTGGGCAAATGAACTGAATAGATACAAGGGGCCGGGGATATAGCTCAGCAGCACAAGCACCTGCCTGGCAGGCGCAAGGTCCTGAGCTCAATTCCTGGTATCAAAAAAAGTCTAAATAGCCAGTAAGTATATGAAAAAATATTCAACACCTTTAGACATTAGGGAAATTCAAACCAAAACTACATTAAAACTGGGTGTAGCACATGTTTATGATCCTAGCATTCTGGGAGATTTGAGTCAAGAGGATTGCAAGTCTGAGCCTAGCACCACCAGTTTAGCAACTTCGTGGGACAGACTTAGTGAGAGAACGCAGGTATGTATCTAAGTGCACAAGCCCTGAGTTCAATTCCTATTACAAAAGAGAGAGAGAGACCTACATTGAAATTCAATTTCATCCCAGTCAGAACAATTACCATCAAGATTATAAAACAAACAGATAACACAAATAATTGCAGGTGAGGATGTGTACTGGGGGAAAGAACCCTTGTATATTCCTTGTCTACATGTAAATTAGCATAGTTTCCATGGAAATCAGCATGGAAGTGCCTCAAAAAACTAAAAATAGAGCTGCAATTTGATCCAGCTATACCACTTCTTGGTATATGCTTGAAAAAAAAATTAAAGTCAGCATACTGTAGTGATACTTGCATACTCATATTTATCGCAGCACAATTCACAATGGCTAAGATATAGAATCAGCCTAGGTACCTATGAACAGATATATATATAGAGAGATATATATAAAACAGATTATTATTCAGCCATAAAGAATTACTAAATTATGTCATGTATAGGAAAATAGATGGAAATGAAGATCATTATACTAAGTGAAATAAGCCAGACTCAGAAGTATTGCATGTTCTCCCTAATATGTGAAGTCTAAAAAAGATGACATGAAGCCCAGCAGGGTGGCACAAGCCTGTAATCCCAGGGGTTGAGAAGGAGGGCTGTAAGCTTGAGCCAGACCAGCAATTTAGTGAGACACTGTTTCAAATAAAAAATAAAAAAGGGATCAGGATGTACCTTAGCATGAAGGCCCTGGGTTTAATCCCCAGTACTCAAAAAAAAAAAAAAAAAAAAAAAAAAAAAAAAAAAAAAAAAAAGCCATGAAAATAGAAAGGAGATTATTATTTTGAGTTCTCCTAAACTGAAAAATGAATAGTCAAATTTTAAACACTAAGGATAGACAAAATTTAAGACTTTAAAATTTTAATTTATTTTCAAAGATTTTAGGCATCGTTATTAGAAGAAAAATTTTTTTTTTCCGGTACTGGGAATCAAACTCGCCTGGCAGGTGCTGTGCCACTGAGCTAAATTCCCAGCTCCTAGAAGAAATCCGCCCTTCCCTGGTACTGGGAACCAAACTCACGACCTTGCACTTGCCAGGGAGACACTGTGCCACTGAGCTAAATCCCCAGCCCCTAGAAGAAATTTTTTCACTGGGTTTATTTTTAATGACTGATGTAAAAAACAGATCAAATTTTCATACACTTGCCTCTGAACATATCTGTAACAGTTATTACCTTTTTGTTTCTGTTAAGTTTTAGTTTCTATAATTTACTCTATGACCCATTAGTATAAACTAAGGCCCAGTTGGCTTGAAAACATTACTACTTTTCCACATCAAAGTAACAAACCATAATGAGTTGGGTTTTTCAAAGCTCTGATATAAAGCAAGGTTGACCGTATCCATTCCAAAGCAATATTCACGCCTGTGATGGTGTGCAATACTATTTCTGCGTTTAAATGTTCAATAAGATGTCTGTGCAAACTAATGGGGAGAAAAACAAAAACCTCTGCATTATTAATATGTCCTTCAATACCATAACTCTTAGTTTTTTAAACTTTGATGTTATATTTAATATATTCATCTCTACTTTAATAGTTCACAAAAGATAACTTCCAAAAATATAAGAGAAAGTCTTAAAAAGTTTAACATCTAAAAAAATTGAAATTCTTTTCTACTTTATGATTCTAGAAGACATATTACTTATTTAAGAAAGGCAAGGGGTAGGAAGATATTTTGATATATTTTCCCCAAGAGAAAATACATAGAATACTAAAAAGTTAGATTGTCTCCTTTACAATTAAATAAATTTTAAAGATGTGAAAATGATGTTTCTCCTCTTAGTATAAATTAGTAATTACAAATTTATAATATGTATAAATTAGAATATAATAATAGTAAGATCTTAGTACAAAATTACACTTTTTATAACAAAGATACATGTTATTCCACGCTACGAAATACTACTTACTGAAACTACTGCTGCTTTTTTAAAAAAATTAAATTCTTTAAAATGACTGTTAAAAATCTTCAAGAAGTGGCCTTAGAAAAAACATGAACCCAATTTTTTTTTTTACTATCTTAAAAGAAAAACAGACAGTATTAACGTTATTATCCTTTTGGCATCTTTCTGTATTACCTGCTTTCTACAGTGTCACTGCAAGATAACATCTGAATGTACTTCTCTCTTGTACTTAAGCGAGTCATAATAACTGCAGTAGCTGTAGTGTCAAACTGAAAACAAATAAACAAACAAAAAAACACACAAAGTTAGTAAAGGAGAGCACAACATGGCATCAGTTCTTTTCCACAACTCAAGATCTTAATTTTATTTATTTATTTTTTATTTTAAAAATAAAAGGAGGAAAACATTAACAGAAGACAACCTTTTGCAAAATAGCAAAAGAACAGTACAAACAATACAGAGTTACAAACAAAGTGGTAGGAAATTAACAATGCTTGTTGTATTACATGTTGATATCTTCAAAGTGGTTTCTCATGAAAACAAATAGAGACATGCAATATTGATCAATCAAGGACTCATTAACTCACTAATACTCATTCTGTATTGTCTGTACTGTTCTTTTGCTATTTTGTAAAAGGTTGTCTTCTGTTAATGTTTTCCTCCTTTTATTTTTAAATTAAAAAAAACAAAATAAAATTAAGATCTTGAATTGTGGAAAAGAACTGATGCCACGTTGTGCTCTCCTTTAACATTTCTTTCAGCAAAGAAATAGAAGACAGTAGATCAACTATGTTAACTATCCCGTATATACATACATACAAAATTTCTCCTTTCCCTTCTCTTTTCCCACATCCTTGTTGCCCTTTACCCTTGAGCGTTTTCCTATCATTTCACAATGTCTATCATACCTCCGAGTTTTTATTAACTCCTTTAGGTTTTACACTAGTGAGACAACGCGGTGCTTGCATATGCAGGTCTGATTTATTTCACTTCTGAGTATGGTCTCTAGTTGTGACCATTTACCTATAAAAGTCTTGAGTTTATCTTTCTTTATAGCTGAGTAATATATAATATATAAAAGTGCCACAATTTTCTTATCCAATCCTTGGTGGATGGACATTTGGGTTGCATCCACAATTTAGCAATTACAAATTGTGCTGCTATGAACATAGGTGCACATATATCACTGTGATATGATGTTTTTTAGATCTTCTGGGAAAATACCCAGAAGGGGAATAGCTGGGTTGAATGGAACCTCTAGTCCTAGTTTTCTGAGGAATCTCCAAACTGATTTCCACAGTGGTTTCACCAGTCTGCGTTCCCACCAGCAGTAGAGAAGAGTTCCTTTAATTTTATTTTGAATAGTCTTCTAGCTTTAAATTAAAGATCAATAGGCCTAAAAAATGCTTCTAAACTTGAGCATTAACTGAAATTTTAATTTAAAAACATTCCAAGATGATAGCTGAACTGTAAATACCGTTTTGTTTCACTGTGACATAAACTGTCACATTGTAAATGCTAAAAACCGCAATCAATTTTGGTAAGTGGATATACATTGTAAGATTTGGTGTGTCATTTACATATAATCTTATAAAATCATAAATTTTTATAAAAGTACTTTGACATATTGTGAAAAGCTATTTTCCTAAATATTCCTGTAGTACCTACACGAATGACTTCTTCATTCAAATATTTGTCAGTATTTCTATGTGTATGAACTGACTTTTAATCTTCACAATGTGTGGAGGCCACTGCTGGCATTTAGTGCTAGACTTAGGGATGCTACATGTTTTATAATGCACATGAGAGTCCTAGCCAATAAAAAAAAATCCCACCCAAAATTCTAAGAACATCCTCATTCAAAATAAAACAACAACAGAAACAAACAAAGCCTTTACTAGCATACCCATTCATAAATCCATCCTTTCACTAATCAATGGGAGTTCAAAGAGTGGGAAGTGGGGATGGGGTGAGATATGTCCCAGTTTATGAGACTTGTTTTACTTCTATTTCTCTAATAAAGAGATTTTCTCCATTACATTGCTTTCAACTTTATCTATTTATGAAATGCTAACCAGAAAAATACACAGCTTTTGGCTTTTGCCCTGTCTTTAAAATAAACTATGAAAAGTAAAGTTATTGTCACTTACTTGAGGTCGACCTGCTCTCCCAATCATCTGCAGAATATCTGTTTCACTGTATTCTTCAAACGTTCCTCCAACATAATGCATTGTAGATTTTATAACTACTAGATGAGCAGGCAAATTTACTCCCATAGCTAAAGTACTGGTAGTAACTGCATTAGATTAAGGAATATTAATGTCAAGCCTTATAACTTTGTCCCTCCAGGAAGACAATATATCTTTATTATAATTTATTAGCTATAACATTAAAGCTCACTTCAAAACCAAAAATTTAAAAAAACTCACTTTTCTATACATAGGAAAAGAACCATAAATGTTCATGGTCAGAATTTATAAGATATGTTTGCATAAATGTAACAGAAACTCATAATAAGAAATATATAAAGAGAAGAAAAGGACAACATAATCTAAAAAAAAAATACATCCTAATACCAAAAATCATTAAGTTCTTACTTTTCAAACTACAGTATGTCCAATAAGATGACAAGAACTAAACACTGTCCAAGAATTTGCTGTAGTATGTACAAGCATATGTACTTAGAAACAATTCAGAATTTTAAATTTTTTTCTTTTTTCAAAGTAATTTTCAAAATATTTTATAATATCAACAAGAAATGTGTTTTACTTACAAAGAACTGGTAGATCTCCAACAGTAAAAGCTCCTTCAACTACTTTTCTATCTGATAGCTCCATGCCAGCATGGTGATAAGCAACACCATATAGTAAGATATCTGTAATACAAATATATTACTTGTCAGTTATGGTTAATATTTTATCAATAACTGCCTATTATCTGTAAATGAAGATGCTGTTCAAAAATTATCTCTAACCTACCTCTGAGTTTTGAATCTCTTACAGAATATGCACACTTCTGTAACCTATTTAAAATATCATAAAAAATTGAGTTATTCCCAGTAACATTAGAAAACTCTGAAATAATTTATTTTGATACTTACAAATATAAAAAGATTCTCATATTATCTGAAAACTATTTTTGAAAAGTAGAAAATAGAAATTCTTGGTACTTTCAAAGATCATGGAAGTTGGTAGGCTTGATTCTTAAGTATGTCGAAGAATCCCCAAATTGGTGTTTTCCCATTTTCTTGTTGCATATATAACACTAGGAGCCCTTATTTTATAATGTTCACTTATTTTTAAGGATTCACAATGAATGAAGAGAAGGCAAGAGGAAAGGCAATGTTATTATTAAGCATAAATTCTGTGCTACACAGTTAAGTATTTTGGAAATATTGCCTTATTTAATTAACATAGTAATATGATACAATAGTTGTTTTCCATATACCTAAACCTAATTAAGAAACTGAGGCTGATGGGCTGAGGATGTAGCCTGATGGTAGAGTGCTTGCCTGCTGTGAGTAACACCCTGGTTTTGATCTTTAGCACTGAGGTAGGGGTTAGGGGAGAGGGAAAAGGAGGGGGAGAGGAAAGAAGAAGGGAGGAAAGGAAGGGCAGGTGGGAGGGGAGAAGTGAGGGGAGAAGAGAAAGGAACACACCCAGGGACAAGTAGCTAGTAAAAGTGACAGTGCTGCAACTGACATCCGGTTCTCTATTTTGATGCTGTTCCTAATGCCAACATTTTATTGCTGAAATCACAAAAATGAGAATAGAGAATAAAGAAAGAAAAAAGGAGAGGTAAGAGTGAAGAATTAAGAAAACAAATTTTCCTTAGGTAAGTGTGGGAAGTGAGAAAAGGAATTAATACTGCATATGCCTCAGTTTAAGAAAATAATTTTTGAACCAAAAATAATTAATCCATGTACACTGAACAGGAAAAAAGAGAGATGATAAGATGTAAACTGGTTTAAAGAAAACTTGTATCCTGTATAGTTCAGTTTCTTACTCAGATAAATTCAGCTAAAAATATTAATTACTAATATTCATCCAAGAAGACTACATAGTTAATCTATGTGAATGATTCTTCCATTTCAGAAAGAATTCTATAGGTTTTTTTGTTTGTTTGTTTGTTTTTTTACGGTATTGGGGATCGAACTCATGACCTTGCACTTGCCAGGTGGGCACTTACACCACTGAGCTATATCCCCTGCCTCTATAGGTTTTTCAAAATAGCTTTCAGATTTAGTTTCTGAACAAGAAAATAAGCCTTATTACTTTATATTTGTATCTTATTTCTGCCTAACAATGGCATGCCCCAACTTGATCACCCAGTTTATTCCCAATAAGTGAGCAGCTCCAAATTACTTGTAGCTCCTTTGCTTTATACCTATACTTTTAAAATTTCAGTTTTACCTTTACTACTAGTTTTAGAATCAACTGGTATTATAGTCAGGGTTTAAAAGGGTGACAGATTTAATACAGGACACATAATTTATAGGATTAGTTTATAATATTCACCCAAAAAGTCAAATGTGAAAGAGTGCAAGTGATCTGCTATGCACTACAGACCCAAAGAATTTAGTTGAGGGCCTGGATCCCACAGCAATGTCCTGCACAAGTCCAGCTAAAGACCTAAAGCCCATTGCAATGTCCTCCATGAGTCCAGGTGGAGGCCTAGAGCCCAACAGAATGTCTCATACAAGTCTGTATTAGGGATCTGCACTGGGAAGGCCCAAAGGCCAGTGATGGAAGCTAGAATGTCTGCGCCAGAGGGATGAAAGATCTGCCAGAAGGCTGAGGGATCTGCACTGGAGCCGAGAATTGATGCTCAAGGTAAGGACCAGAGCTCTCTGAAAGAGCCATTCTCAGCGACAGTGAGGACTTGAATTTCTCTGCCGATGAGAACAGCTAAGTTCATATCAGGAGAGCCAGAGTGATAAGCTTCTCCAGGAGAATCAACAGCACACCATTTTGCCCTCCTGTTCTTTTATGCTGTTGGTGACAATCCTCAGGTGGCCTTCTATACCCAGAACCATGCTGATTCAGTTCAGCTGGGTGTTACAAGTTCACCATTAGTTAATCTACCACAACTGGTCAATCTGTTTTCAAAACCCATCTTTGTCAAAAAAATTTAGAAAATTGATAATCAAAAATATTATCAAACTAAGTGCAACTAGTATGCAAACTATTAATAATGACTTGTTTTTTTTGCCAGCAAAATGATTTAATAGATAGATGGCACACATGCTTCCATTGCTTGATCACTGGCAGTAAGTAACCAAAGAATCCTCCTGCTTCAAAGGCTCAAGAGCTATTCCTTCTATAAAAATACTTCGAATTAAATTCTGGAAACTGAGAAATTTCAAAATACAAACATATTTTGTCATTTAAATGTGTAATATAGGAGAAAAAATTTAACAGAAAGTTAGGAGACTAGAGGTCAGAAAAGCTGGTCATATTAGGCCTGTTTAGAAGCCTTGCTAGACAAAAAGCAAATGTAGGGCTTGCTAGACAAAAACCAAAAAGTTTTGTGGGAGTAGCTAGAGAGTGACTGGTTAAAGGGGAATTAATGTGAATAACAATCTTCTTGCCTAGTCTACACTCAAAATAGCATTCCATTCCTTCCATGTATGCCTTCCTCAGGGAATGAGGCAAAAACTAAATATGCAAAATAGACAAATGAGGTTTTATTCAATTTGTAATTTTTCCTAATAAAAGATTAAAATATGATATTCTCTGGTGTATAAAACGAAGAGATGGTCTTTTAGTTCCTATTGCTATGACAAAATATCTGAATCATTTATTTTTAAAAACACGGTTATTTTGGCTCACAGTTGTGGAAGGCCAAGAGCTTCTTGGTTTTTGGTGAGGGCCATGTGCTGTTCCATCTATCTCCACGCACAGTGGAAAAGTGGGAGAGAAATGTGTATGGGGGGTGGGTAGGGCTGGCTTGCTTTATAAAACTTGTTTTCAGAATAATTAATCCAATCCTGTGAGAACTCACTCCTGCTGAGATCTGATCAACTAACCCAATCTGTTTGAGAAGACATTAACCCATGTATGAGGGTGGTGGCCCCATGACCTATTCACGTATCGTTAGGACTCACCTCTTAAAATGTCCTACCACCTCTCTATACTGTTATGTTGGGGACCAAGCTTCCAGCAGCATGAAGCTCTGGGGAACACACCATTTCTAAACTATATACGATGGAAAGAAAGAAATCTATTCTTATTAGCATTGATTTCACTTCCTCCCTTTGTCTACTTCCCAAGAGTTCATGTTCTAGTTGTAATATCTTTACTGGTTTTTCTCATTCTCTTCTGTAACTTAATTTCTTAATTTTGCTTTGTTGACAAGCTTATCAGAAGCACCATTCTGGGGCTGGGGATTTAGCTCAGCGGCAAAAAGCGCCTGCCTGGCAAGCGCAAGGTCGTGAGTTCGGTTCCCGGTACCGGAGAAAAACCAAAAA